ATATAATATAAACTCAATTTTTGAATTTCTAACCATGAGACTCATTTTGTGGTGAGACCTCACATATTTATTTGCTTTATAATCGAAATTATGGAGGTGGTTACATTATACAGTATAAATACTTTTATTAACAATACCACTGTTATAAGAGGAAGCTTGAAGATTTTGGATTCACAAAACCTTTAATTGCACCAATAAATATTTATCTGTTATAACATGAAAGTATTTTAAACGTGTATCATACAGGAAGGACACAAGCATTCACATTGAAATTCACATCGTATTATGAAAACATCATCATAATGTCAACATTTGCCATCTGTATATCTCTGGCACCATCTGCATATCCAAATATATTTATGCACATATTCGCTTGACAAAATCTTTCAACAGCAGTACAGTACTGCACATATATCTTTGACTTCCATCTGCTTAAAGTCTTGGCAACAACATTTTCATATGCATTTTTCTGTGACACCTTTCATCTACATTTTCTTTTTGCCAAATTTTTTCTGCATATCTCCTTGACAATACTTTAAATCTGCATGACAACTTTACCTGTATATTGACATCATCTCCATTCACATACCACCTTGTCCATATCATCTTTCATCTATATTATTCTGGTTCACACCATCTCATTTTCACATCCCCTAAACATACTGTATCTACTCTTCAGAATCAAAAGGACATATCTCTGTCTCGTACTGTTTCTTCAAAGTGGTGACATATTCCTTCAAACTCTCTTCATCAAGCTGTGAGTTACGAGCCACCTGTATTAACCTGTTGGCCAGGTGAAATGCAGCTCTTTTTTGTCTTGCTTCCTCACTATCTTTTCCATTTGACTGAAGTAAAGAAAAAAGTATGAAAAAGGTGATGATGAATTGGCAAACTTCCTGCTGATATATAGGTACATTTATGTTTGGGTTCAAAAAATAATAAAAAATAAATCAATATTTTATTTACCGTATTTATTTGAATTAAAACCCCACTTTGAATAAATGCCCCCTCGAATAATCTCTGCCTCCAGTGCCTTATTGCCCCAGGTGTTTGTTTTTTCCTCAAAAGTAAAAAGTCTGTAAACCAGTGAAAGCTTTTTTAAATGTTTTTTGAAAGTTGCAAAACTTTGCAAAACCTATCAAAAGAGCAACTCGATGTTTTAATTTAAGGTTTTTTTCTAGATGTTGCTAAAGAAACTGTCTCTTATAAAAATAAACCTACATTATATTCCAAAGAAAGCAAGGTGATAGAAGCAGGCCCATAGCCAGGTTCTTCCAAGGTTCTCTGGGCTTGGGGTCCAGGGTCAAAGCCCCCAAAGCCAGAGGATTTTTGTGTTTTATGGGTCAAAATAATACTATCAAAAGCAGATATGTTTGAAAATGTCTGACCTGGGTGGCTGGGTGGGTCTACAGTGCATTAGTTAGGTTGGAGGACTTGTTCTTGAAATTTAAAGAGGTGGGTTTGCTAGAAAAGGTGGTTCTCCCGAACCATAAATCCCCCTGGCTACGGGCCTGATATAAGGGATTCTAAATCAACAGTTGTCTAAATTTAAAGAGCTGACAAAGCAGGCACATTTTTATTTAATATTTTTTTAGCATTCTGAGATTTGTGCTACCTTCTGTACACTAATATTGTGTGATATTCTCTTGGCTTCTGCTATAATAGATGGAGGAAGGGTTGACACCTCAGCTAGTCGTATCCCTAAAAAAATTGAGAAATAAATTTATTACATTCAGTAACACTTTACAACTTGCACATAATAACAAAGTAGTAATAATAGTTAGTATAATCGATTTGCTTATAAAACATATCTATGTCTTTGATAACAGTCAAACATACCATAATTTTTTTCTTGTGTTCTTCCACGTGACAGCACATGCGTGTAGAATACCTTTTGAAAGTTGCCGTTACCTGTGACATGGTGTTCAACTTCAAAATGGTAACTATAAATGATAATAGCAATAGTGATGATGATGATGATAATAATACTGATATCAAAGGCTATAATAATCATATATTTATTTATTTATTCTTTCTTTATACTAAATATAAACTTTCAATACATAGCACTGATTTCTAAAGTGTACTTTTGTAACTTTTGGTTACACTGTAACCAAAAAAAAAAGCAAAAAAAAAAATTTAATTAAATAAAAAAAAACAAACATTGAATGAAACTTAGGAAAACAATAATGTGTTCTAAACGCCTGAAAATAGCATTTGAGGCATTCTGGGCTATCTTTTTTTTCTTTCTCTTTCTTTTTTTCCTTTTTTTTACCTCCCAAAAAGGGGTGGGGCCTAAATCCACCCCTGAGCAATAATTTCTCGCATTTATTATTTATTACTAGAAATTGCAAGTGAAGTGCTGCAAAGTACAACTGCATATAAATGTTCTTCGAACAAAATTATTTATGCGAGTCAAGTGAAAATAATGAATAATAAAAATATAACAAATAATATGAGACACAACCCATTGTCTATATTAAAACACTTCTCATTGGGTAACAAAGTCGTAATTTTTCTTTTTTGTCAAAAAGTATCTATAGTGGTGAATTATGGTTTAGGTTTTTTTTAATAAAGTTTCAAAAATTTCTATGTATGTGG